AAAGTCAGAGCGCTAAACTCTTCGCCAATGATGCTTTCGGGCCACGTGTCTTCTAGTTTTTTATACCTGCCTCTCTCTCTAGCTGTTTGGTCGTCTTTGCTGCGTTGACCAATTGAGCAGCTTCCGCAGAGGCGGCGTAGTATTAGGCCCAGATACTCGGACTCAATCAATCTTATATTCAAGATGTGCATGAAATCCAGCTTTTTCAAACAATGGCTACCAAGCAGTGTCGCGTCGAGCGCATAGGCAAATCAAGAACCACGGTGCATCGCAACAGAGGCTGCACGTTCTGCTGCTGCAACACTAGACGTAGTCCCTATTCGCGAAGTTTTGCAGCAATCAACATTCAACACCACATGCACCAAGCAGATGATATGTGGCTGACGAATCCTGATGTCTTTTGTTGTTGTTGTTGTCGAACCTACATCCAGCCTGCACTGCACGTCGCAAACGGCCATCGTGATACTGATCCTCACACTAGGTTTTCGCACGTTCACTCCCGCAAAGGTGCTAAAAAACCAACCAAGCACAGGTCTGGTTTGATTGTTTGATTGACAAAACAACCGACACGTTAGCAGCAAGCCGGTGCCCGTCGGGTCCATTTGATTTTAACAACAGCTGAATGCTGTTGCTTTCGTACTCGAGATGCAAGCGCTCCATGCCGAGAAAACTCATGAGAGTGCAGGCTGTCACAAACGTTTGCATCCGAATTTTGTTTGTACTCGCCACATGAGGTTTCCTGCCACGAACAACAAACAAACAATCCGTGCATCGCACAGTCTACGCTCTATAGGCAGATCAAGATCCGCGGCACACCTGCTGTCTCCAAATCCCTCGTGTTTAACTGCACGTGTGTGCACCGTTCCATTTAACAACGACTACAAGTGGTGGTACATCGAGCACATGAGCATGTCAGGAACTGCAGTTCATCGCAACGGTCAAGAGCCAATCATTCAAACAAAGGCTGCAGCGTCCTGGCGTTGCAAGAGGTGAAACCCAAACAAGGACGAGTTCTTACTCTGTGCTACTCCTGTACACATTCTCCCAACGGCGGCTGCATGTGGGTCAGCAGATTTTGCCTAGAGTCTGGACAAGCTTGCTGGGGATTGAAAGGTCTGGTTTCAAGGCTGCCAATACGCTTCTTTTACATCTTTTATTGTTGTGGTTGTTGTTGTTCTTGTTGTTGTTGTCGAACCTCTATCCAGCCTGCACTGCGTCGCAAACAGCCTTCGCGACACTGATCCTCACAATGGGTTTTCGCACGTTCAGTCCCGCAGATATGCCAAGGAACCAACCAAGCCTTCTGTCAGGTTTGACTGTTTGATTGACAAAGAATCGACACTTTCTCAGCAAGCCGAAATACATCATAACAGTGGCGAACCGCATTTCACCGTAACCACATTTTCTTGATTGCAGGCCAAGCGCCAATCAATCAGACAAAGGCAGCAGGGTCCTGGCGTTGCAAAACGTGAAACCCAAACAAGGACCGAGTTCTTAATCACGCACCAATTTTTTATATTCAACACCACATGCACCAAACAGATGATATATATGTGCCCGACTAATCCAGGATATGCAACTGCTGACCAAGTTTGCACTGTCCATGATTTTTTGATACTTACCTACTTTCTATGCTACTTCTGTGGACTTTCAGGGTTTAGGATTTGGGATAAACTGAAGGAGTGGCTCTAGTAAGCCGCAACTTTTGTGGCATCTTAGACATGGCCTGCCGGCGGAGATCACGGAAATGCCTTTCAGACATCACCGCGCCGCCGCCGAAGGCTATCGGTGTAGATCCTGCAATGCCTCCCAGAGCTTTCATAAGAGCCGGCCAGCTGGGATCTTTACAACCTGCAAATGTAAACCGTCCGCCGCGAAAGCCTGCCGGCTGCAGTGGAGGCTCTGCAACCGCTCGCTCCTCATGGTTTCGCAACACAAGCTCAGAAGAGGTTTCAGGGCCACACCAGAACAATCTCAAGAAAACAAATTTAGTCACAAGGAGGGCAACTTCCGAAATTCCGAGGCAAGTGTCCACTGAAGGCAGAACGGCTTTGATTGGAGCCTGGACAGGGCCAGCACATTCGACTAACAAAAACCGGGCGAGTAGCGCTGATCGATTGAAATCTTCAAACTCCAATCGCTTGCGGAAGGTTACAAAACAGTGAGGCACTGTCAGGCTGATGCAACGAAATGTATTTATTCTGTGTACAACACATTTTACTGAGCTACCGAAGTTGGAACCTGTGATGTTTGTGGCAGTCGCTAGCAGATCTGGCATTGACTGTACGATTGACGCTTGCGTCCAACCGGGCACGCTTGTGTCAGCTGCTATGCACGCATGTGTCTCCTGTCTGCACTTGGCATTTCAGTTGTGTGAGGGCTTATTGGTCTTGATATATCGCTCAGTCAGGGTAGTTACGGGTAGTTGGTTCCAGACTTCCCCTCCCTGCAGGCAGCTGCAGATCGCTGCGATGAGTATTTGCACTTGTCGGGAGAACTTAGCGGATGGCTTGACCGAAGGCTGAACTAAGCTTCGTTGGCTACAGTTCATGTTCTTGAACCATACGGGAGTTGCCGTTGTGCGGAGCTTGAAACTTGAGAGACCCGGGCTGGGACGAAAGCTCTAGCATGGGCAGGGATGGCTAGCGACACGGAGAAGTGAACTTCGGTTGTGCGCCCCTGTTGCACCGTCGAAGCTCGCTGCAGCTGTTTTGCACAAGGCTTGAGCTTGCTTCTCGCTGCTGCTGCCGTTACAGACAAAAGTTTGTAATGTCATCACCGCATGGCTGTTCCATAGCGGCAGCCCATGAGCGCTCAATTTGACGCAGTGGAACAATTTAGGTACCAGCTTTTCCCCGAGAGCCAGACTCACATGCGCCCACACACTGGCGGTAATGAAGTGGCAGGAGCAAGCCCGCATCGCAGCGCACAAAAAGTGAAGAGAACAACATTGGCAGGAGCAATTTTGATCCAACATGTCACGAAGAGCGCTTTTGATCCAACATATGAACTCCTTGCCAGACAAAGACAGACAGTCATGTTGCGACATGTGAAGCCGACACGCCCAGGCCAGCATGAGAGGAGGCATGTTTTTCCGTTGGACGTCCAAAAAGCCACTTACCCAAAAGGACCGAAATCTGGCCCAAAACAAGCCCCTTAGGCAACGGGTTTTGTCCAGCTCCAGCTGGGGGATAGCCGAAGAAATCCGCCAATCCTGACCACCGACCCCCCCCCCCGGCACCTCCCCCGATAACCCCCAAGCTCACTCTGTGAGGTAATGAACGAAG